GGGGATTTGGAGAGCGGTCCAATAGAGGCAGGGAGGGGCGGGGCCGGGTGGAAACAAAACAGAAATCTGGTAGGAAAGAACATTGAATATTAGAAACATAAAGCCTTTTAAAAATCCATTTCACCTGTCACTATTTTTGTTGTTTGCTTTTTGCATTTCTCTCAATGCTGACAAGGGAAATAAATAAAGTCAGTTCCACCTTTGTTTACAGTCAGGTTCACAGGGCTGTGAAGTTTGGGTTGCAAACACTGAAGGGTAACCTTTATTTGTTTGAAAACCCAAACTGTTTCAATTGGAATGCTCAGAAAAATGCATCCCAAATCTCTCTTCTCGCCTTGTTTTTACAAATCTAATCTTGGGTCAAAATTTGAGTTGTGTGGTGGATCACTGTTCTCTCCCACAAACAACCTTTGTTCTGTGTCATAGCTTTCAGAAGTTGGCACATATTCCATAATAATAAAGTCTGCCCCTGCTACCAGAGGATCTGAACCTGCAAACACTTACACACAAGCTTCATTTTACACAGGTGAGGAGTCCCATTGAGTTCAAAGTTATGTATGTGTGTATTTGCAGAAACTGGGTCAGAGTTCCCTCTATCACAATTTCAATAATGTCAGGGCAAGCTACAAGGCAATGATTTGCTACCAATACTTCAAAACAGGGGTTCCCCAAAAAATCTCCTTAGCTTGTGAAAAAACTGGGTATGTGGGTGGTTGCTGAAAGGACATTTATTTGCCTCCTTCCTTATGGAAAGGTCTCAGAATTAAATAGGGATTAAACCAATACAGGGAGGACATTAAATAGGTTTCTATAGAAATTGCTATAAAAACTTATAGCTAAGAATAAAAAACTAGAATGTTTTTTTGTAGATGGTTCAAACAATTGTAGCCCACAGAGCTAGCTTTACCATTTATTTTATTTAGCGATAATGCAAGTAACCTACAGGACTGTATCCTGTAAGACATTAGCTTAAGCAGTTAGGATGAGGCTTGAGGCCTATGAACTTCGTCCGCCACACTTAAGTTTTCGGGAACTGTGAATAGAGTGTTTATGGGGGAAGTTTATACACAACAACACCAGGCAACCACAGGAATATGAACTAAAACAAGCTTTTGGATATTTAAAGTTTTTTTGTTTTTTGTTTTTTGTTTTTTTTTACTAAATGGCACACTGGAGAGAGGTGATGGATTGATGGCTCTGGTACCTAGAGTCACCTCTGTTCCTGTAGAACAGGAGAGCAGCAGGGCCAGCCAGCCAGCCTGCCCCACCCCCCACCCCCATCCATGATTCCCCAAGATAAATCTCTGATAATTTTCATATGACTTTACATTGTGCCTCTTCCTATAACCTTGTAGTGGGTCTACCCACGTGTGACCTCTGTTTTCATGAAACTTTGTATCAAAGCCTCATATGGAAACCTTGTAC